TCCACCACGCCTGGCAATCTCTTTTTTTAAAAAAGAAGATTTTATTTATTATTTTTATTTTTATTTTCATTTTTTTAAAAAAATATTTTATTTTATGTGTATGAGTATATATGCCTGCATGTAAGTGAGTGCACCTGTGTCATGCAATGCCGCAGAGGTCAGAAGAGGGCTTTGGATTCCCCTGGAACTGGAGTTAAGGATGGTTTGTGGCTGCCGTGTGGGTGCTGGGCCTCGAACCCGGGTCCTCTGCAAGAGCAGTCAGTGCTCTTAACCACTGAGCTATCTCTCCAGCCCCCAGAGACAGTCTCTTTCAAGCATGGGATTCTTTGGTAGGTTAACCAGGCTCCAGTGGATGGTCACACACTGAAGGACATTTGAGGACACAAATTAAACACTATTGGCCTTATTAGTTATATATATAATAGAGAACATTAAATTGGGCAGGGGGTGGCGATACGAGGTGTGGATAGGGGAAGGAAATCTAAATGCCATTAAATAATATTATATGAAAATTGCAAAAATTCAATTAAAAAAAGAAGAAAAAACTGACCAAAACAGGAGCAGAGAGGCTGTGTGTGAGGGCCTGTCGGTCTCTGGATGGAATACAGGGTCACAGTTTAGCTGAAAAGAAGCACATCCCCCACAGCACCAACCCCCCCCCAACAATCCTATTTCCTTTCCCTAGCACCTTAAATGCCATGCTGCTGCGAATTCAGTTATCTGGGCCACTGATCCTAGCGGCTCTGGTACATAGGGCAGAGCTCATCACACCGGCATACACTGTGATCACCTTTGTGATGTATGCCTACCCCAGTTTTTGTTTGTAGCTAGGTAGCTGACTCATGAGCTAAATCCTAATCCTGTAAATATTATTTCTGTTTCATCTAACAGCCAATAGGAGTAGATCACACAGTGCTTCCTGTACAGGGCACAGGAAGGCATGAGATGTTCCTGACAGACACTGGCAAGCTCGCCTAGAATCATGGTCCACAAGGTCTCCTGCCGTGTGCCCTTTCGTTCTAGAGGAGAAAGTGACACAGTGAAGGACATGTGTTTTTCTTCTCATAGGTTAATGCATCCCCATCTCTCACCTCCAGCACCGCCAATGATCGGATCCTTAAGTACAACCTGATTAATGACACCCTCAACATTGCAGTCCCCAACGGCGAGATTCCAGACTGCAAATGGAACAAGTCCCCCCCGAAGGAAGTTCTTGGCAATTATGAAATCCTGTGAGTTTGCATGTGACTCTCTGTAGTGGTCCTGCATTCTAGACTGAGCCGTGTGGAGGTGCCCTGTGGATACCGTCCGTGGGTGTGTGTGGGCTCGCTTTGTTCAGTAGTGTGTTTTCTCGTTGACACTGTTGAGGGATAGCTCTCACAGAGGCAGAAGAGTAATTAGGGTGCTAAACCTGTCTGTTCCATCCAGCAGACACTTAAAGCACCCACCACGTGCCAGGCACTGTGCCAGGTCCGAGCCCCACTGGTTGTATCCACACACACGTGTGCACACAGGCTGGTCTCAGATGCACCACTGGTCGGAGGATCTGAACACAGGTCCTGTGCTCTGGAACCTGACTCAGCTAGGTTGGAGAGTCATCGGGGAGTAGCTCGTCATCGGGGTGGAGGGGTGAGTGGAAGTAAGTTCAGAAGGGAAGTGTGTGGCACTTCCACACAAACTCAGGGCTGCAGAACTTGATAGTTTAAGTGCCAAATATGACCACTCAGTGTAACTGGTTGTCCTCTTAAGAACAGCAGCCTGGGGTGGGTAGGACAGCAGCCTGGGGTGGGTAGACAGCAGCCTGGGGTGGGTAGGACAGCAGCCTGGGGTGGGTAGGACAGCAGCCTGGCGTGGGTAGGACAGCAGCATGGGGTGGGTACAGCCACAGAGTTGGAGAGGACTGAAAGTAGGAGCTGACTGGGCAAGGATGGCAGGAGACGAAGAGCAGGATGCCAGTGCTGGAGGGGAGGGGGTGTGCAGCGGAAAAGTGGCACTCAGGTTGGTAGGGGCAGGCACTGAGGAGGTAAGCTAGGGGAGAAGGGGTCAGAGAGTGAGAATGGGCCCTACAGGCTATGCTGGGTACAGCCACTGACCAGGACAAGATTGAGAGTTCCAGGCCGGTTGGGGATACAGGAAGTCCCTGACTCAAAAAGACCAAAAAGAAGAAGAAGATTGAGACATGGTAAGTCTTGGCAGCACTGAGATGTGATAGATGTCAAGGTCATCAGAGGTCAGCAATGTGCCCATTGCCAGGCCCTAAAGGACTAGAGTTGATGTATAAGGTGGTGGTACAAACCCAGAGGCAGAGGCAGAGGCAGGTGGATCTCTGTAAGATCCAGGCCCGCCTGGTCTCTATAGTGAGGTCCAGGCCAGCTGGGGCTACAGAAAAACCCTGTCTCAAAAAGATGGGAGTTAAAAAGGGGCTTCTGCAGACCTGGCTTAGAAGGGGCTGAGGATGTCTAGAGAGCAGGCCTCTTCAGACACAGTCGTCTTACGGAGGAACCGGCTCCCATGCCATAAGGTTTCAAGTAAGCAGAGCTCCAAGGAGAGACAGGTTTTGGATACAACAGGAGGATGAAGGAGGCGTTTAAGGTCTGATGGGGTGGAGAATTCCAAAGTGCACAGCACGTTTGGGGATGGGTCAGACTAAGCCCTGTCTAGACACTTGGGGCTGGCAGTGCTGGACATGGACTGATTGAGAGTGGTCCGTGTCAGCTGCAGTGGAGGCCTCCTGAGGGCCTCTGTGGTGGGGACCCCACGGCAGGGAGAGTCTTACCAGGACCATAGGGTCTTTGTGGGTCCTTCAGTTCAGCAGAGGCAGGGTTGGCTCACTGGGTGTTTGTGGGGTCCTTTGTCTCAGGCTAGCCTGGGGCATCTTTGCAGAGCAAGCCAGGTGCTTCATCTCCAGGTTAAGAAGCAGAGGTCAAAGCCTTCCTGTTTTCAGTTGGGGAGAAAAAGACTCACCCCCAATCCCGGGCCAGTCTCTCCTCCTGTGAAGGGACAGAGGCTCTGAGGTGGAACCAGGAGCTTCTCCCCTCGGGTCTCTGAGCCCCTGAAGTTTTCAATCCCTCCAGTTCAGATTCCAGTGGCAAGAATAGGAGGTGCTGCTGACTGGGGGATGGGGCTTACACCTTTGGGGTGCTGTCCTGTCCCTCGCCCAGCCAGGAGCACTACATTTTGTCCATGTTCCTAGCAACCCGTCAGGGTACACCAGTGTGGAGAATGGGAGCTGGCAGAGCAGCTCCTGTGCCTGAGGTCACATTGGCACTGGCCCCAGAAATGGGTGTTTTCCCACCACCCCAGATTGTCCCCATGGCCTTGGAGTTGGTGTCAAGAGGCTAGAATTTTGCATTTTGCCTATTCTAAAATTACCAACTAGCTGGGTGTGGTGGTATACACTTTTAATCCCAGCACTCAGGAGGTAGAGGCAGGTGGATCTCTGTGAGTTCAAGGCCAGCCTGATCTACATAGTGAGCCCCTGTCTATAAAGGCCAGCCTGGTCTACATAGTGAGCCCCTGTCTATAAATAAATAAATTAATTAATTAATTAAAATAAAATTACCAACTGTACTCTTAGTCTTGAAAAAACTTCTGTTCAGAATGCAGAGCCTTCGTTCCACCTGTCAGAACTCAGAAGGGAAGCCCTTAGGAGCTTCGGTAGGAAGGGCCTTAGGAGAGTCATCTTAGTGTTTACATCAGCTCTCTAAGTGGCCAGACCCTCCCGCAGAACAGCCACCTGCTGCCAGCAGCCTGCCACATGCTCCGTTTTGTTTTGTTTTGTTTTCAAGCCACACAGAGCAGCACAAATGCTCAGTTAGTGGAGGCTGAGGCGCATGTGTAGTCCTCGTCTCCATCCATCCGGCAGACCCTGCGTCTCCCCACCACCAGCCTGGTGCCAGGGAAACGCAGAGCCTGACAGTGTCACCTTAGCCCGAGTCTGATGTAAATGCAAAACAGGCACTACTGTGGTCACTGATGGGGGGAGGCAGGGCCCTCTGACCCACCCCCCCAGCAGAGGCTCTGGGGCCCCTGCTCTCTCTCCATCTCTCTCCAGCCCTGTTGTATTAGAGGGACTGTGGTTACGCCTCCATAGAGAGACTGGGAGGTGAGGCGTGCCCATGTGGTGGTGTAGCTCTGACAGCCTACACCAGTCCAGGGAGCAGCCAGGAGTCTGCCAGGAGGAAAGCAGTCAGCACGTTAGCTCTGATGTTCCCTGCACTCCAGTCTGTTTGCCACCGTAGGCACAGTGTAGAGTATTCATCCACCTCAGCAGTCCTAAATGCAGGCCCCACACTACCCAGAGACTCTGGTTCTGGACCAGAAACACATCCTCCGTAGAAGTCAGGAAAATTCAGCTACTGCAGCATAGCTAAGCATCTCGGTACCTGTCTGCTTAATGCAACTGTCTGCATATACCTGAAGGTCCTCAGGCAGAACAGTGGTCACACCTAAGAAGGGACTTAAAAATGGCCACAAGGGTCAGCAGGATGACCCAGCACCTGCCACCAAGCCTGGGGAACTGAGTTGGATCCCCAGGTCCTATGTGGTAGGAGAGAACTGACTCCTGCAAGTTGTCCTCTGACCTCCACATGTGTGCTATATGCCCCCCCCACCAAATCAATAAATAAGTGTAGGGTTAAAAGCACAAGTTTTTAAAAATTCTTTTTAGGGGACCAGAAGTGTTCTTCTCACCCTCAGCTGTGGGGCAGAGCCCCAGATTAGGAATCAGGAGGCCTGATTTTAACCCTACCTCTGCCACACCTGAATTTGAAGCCCAAAGGTGATGGGAACTCACTGTCAGGAGACATGGTTCCCTTCACGGGCTCTGGGTTGGGTTATGTGTCTCATCAGCCTCAGGGACCTCAGGAAAGAAGCCCCAGTAGAGGAAGGGGAGGGATTTGCCTAAGTACCTTGATAACCTGCCAGGGGCACCTGTCTCTCACCTGGTTCTTCAGGATGTTTCTCTGTCTGGAAGATTCCTCAGTCCTGCATATGGCTGAGGTACTGGTGATAACAGTGAAAGGACAGTGGGGGAGCAGTGAGATGTTGCTGGGCAAGTCCCAGCCTGTCCTGGCCCCTCCCAGCAGGCCACTGATAACCTGGTTCCCTGTCTGAAATGGGTCACTGGCTATGCATGGCGTGTTTGCAGGCGGGAGCGCCCTCCCACACTACCCTGGGCTGGCTTGCTAGCTTCTCATCCAGGTTCCCTTTGCGGTTATTGCCATGTTCTGTCTGCAACATAAACTGTCAATGGCAGTTAGTGGGTTTCGCTCATAAGCTCTGTGGTTTTCACTGGGCTACCAAAGGCACCTTGTGGACTGGAGAGCAGATAAGGTGCCCAAAGCCTGGGCTGGGTTGACAACACAGCAGCCCACTAGCCACTCAGTATGGCTGCTGCCTCTGAGCAAGACCTCCCTGTGATTTCCAGATGCTCTGTTTCAGGTACGATGAGGAGCTTGCCCAAGGTGACGGGGCAGACCGGGAGCTCAGAAGTCGCCCAGGCCAGCCACCGGGGCCTAGAGCAGGCCGGTCAAGAGACTCAGGGAGAGCTGTCCTCACAACTTGGAAGTGACTGCTGGCGGGAACAAAAGCCCCCATCCTGGACCTCCTCAAAGTAACTCTTTGCCCCAGATCCTGCTAAGGACCTATTTTGGAATTTCCCTTTTTCTAGAGAGCCTCTTTCTTGAGCTCTGTAAGTAAATAAAGGCACTCTGGGAGTTGGAGGTATGTGTCATCAGGGCTTTGAAGACTGACTCACACACACTTACTCTAGAAAGTGATGGCTGCAGCATGTGGCATAGCTTTTTATGTATATAAAAAAAACATTATTTGTGTGTGTGTGTGTGTGCGCGCGCGCGCGCGCACGTGCACGTGTGTGTACCTGTGAGCACAAGTGCAGTACCCAAAGGAGTCCAGAAGAGGGCATTGGAGCCCTTGGAGCTGGAGTCATAGGCAGTTGTGAGCCATCCAACATGGGTGCTGGGAATCAAACTGGTCCTCTGAGAAGCTACAAGGACTCTTTCCCACTGACCCATCTCTCTAGCCCCTGACATAGGTTGTTCTGTTTTGTTGTGTTGTGTTGGTCCAGTCTGATCCATTCCAAGGATCTCCCTGTAGCCCCAACTGACCTGGAACTCACTATGCAGACCAGTATGGCTTTGAACTAACAGAGATCTGCCTGCCTCTGCCTCCCAAGTGCTGGGATTAAAGGTGTGTACCACCACACCTGCCTCTTGATACAACTTCCTAAAGATATTCATATTTGTCAAGCTTTGTACTTAGAACAGGTTAAGCACAAAGTGGGGTGTCTTGTGGACCAGTGCTGCTGTGAGACGTGGTATGTAGTCTGATACTCATTTTGGCTTTGTTCCCTCTCACTTGATTGTGGAGAAAACGGCATTTGTCTTTACAAGGCCCCAGTGCTCCTGGGGGAATCCCTGTCACTTCAGTTTGGAGATGAGGCTCTTATGCCACAGTGGAAGAGCAGACTCCCTGCGGGGTGCCTGCTCCGCCCACATTTGGCACTGTCATCACTCCTGGCAGCATCAGCAGGCGTGGGCCAGACAGCATGTTTACACAGAGCCCCCCACACACACACATACCAGGGTCTTGAAGGAGTGCAGGAGACCAGCTGGCACACACATAAGCCCTGCAAGCAAGTGGGGTCTTAGCCTGACAGTTGCATCTGACACCTGTTGACTGGTGGGTTAGTCACTGCCTTGAATTTATCTTGAAAGTTCCCCCGTGCTCAGCTGTGCTGGACAAGGGTAGACGTCATACCATGTGTGTCTGTGTCTTTGCACACATGTATGCATGTCTTTAATGTTTCACTGCCAATTAAGGAAAAGCCCACTTAAATGTGTATATTGTCATATAAGGTAAGAGATGAAGTGCTGCTGGTGTTCAGCAAGAAACAAGAAGCTGTAGTTGGGGCGGGTGGTTTCTCTGACTTTCCTGTCTGTCTGGACGCACTTAGCTGATTTGGTACGGTGTGTTGCTGGTGACTGGTCTCAGACCTGGGCTCGAGGCCTGGTTCTCCATTTATCAACTGTGACCTATGATGTCCCCTAGGTTCTTTGCATTTTTGTTTCTCAAGATATAAAATGAGGGTTAGAGCCTGGCTTGGTAGCACATGGCTATAATTGTAGCACTTGGGAGGCGGAGACAGCACTGTTGTCACGGGTTGAAGATCAGCCTGGACTGCATAGTGAGTTGGAGGCCAGCCTACACAAGACCTTGTCTCAAACTCTCCACTCTCCAAAATGGGAATTATTTATATTTTCCTCAGAAAACTAAAGTTTTAACTAACTAAGCTGCCTCCCTCATGGTCTGGCTCCTATTTTCCCCTCCCCCGAGACTGTAGCTGCATGGCTCATGGCCACACTTCTGCTCTGTACGTGGTGGGGAAAGGGTTCCTCTTAAGCTGTGCCAGCTCTGTACCCACTGTTCGTTACCACCCCGTTTCTCCTCAGGTCTGGAGAGGGTGGAATTCCTAGGAACTTCTGGTATGTTTGGCTTTTCCCAGTGTAAACCTTGAGACCACCTCTATCTGAGGCTAAGGATGCTTAACCAGACTGAACAAGTGGCAGGTGATTTGCCAATGACCCAGTTGCTAGGTGTGAGTGAGACCTTGCTAAATGGATTTGTGTCACATCTTCCAGAATGCACAGGGAGGAAGAGTGTGGTGTCAGAGCGAACCTTGAGGAACAAGAGTTGGGGAAATAGCACTGCTTACCGCCTGGCCCAGGGCTCTGGCAGTCACCCTCTCTGAGCTGTCTGGGATGACAGTTTTGCTTTTTTGTCCCTCCCCTCTTGGTTAGATGGATCCCAAGGCCTGAACTGCACCATCTGGCATTTTCCCAGAACTTCTGGTATGTTTGGCTTTTCCCAGTGTAAACCTTGAGACCACCTGCTTCCTACAGGGGCTTGGTGAGGTGCTTGAGGTATAGATTCTGGGTGTCCCCAAAACTCTGCCCCACTTCTCCAGTGCCCACCTGGATCTCTGCTAGAGTACCCGCTTATCCCTACCTGCAGCCCCACCTCAACTAGGACTCCACCTGGCCAGCAGGCTTTTTCTACAACATGGACCCTCCAGTCCAGGCTCCTGCCTCCTCTCTGCTTGCTGGCACTCTGCCCGCAATTCAGTGGGACGCAAACTAACCCACCTCTCCTCTGCATGGGTCACGGGTCATCCTTCCCCAGGAGACCAGGCAGTTCCTCCGGGTGCCACTTGCAGTCCTGCTACTCAGCACCCAGCCTCCTGCAGGCCAGGATGCAGGGAGCTGTGCGAGATTTGCTGTGGGGCACCCTGCGGAAGGGACCCTGGCCAGCCCACACCTGGGACTGCTCAGCCAGGTACCACAAGGTGTTCATTGTGTTACTTAATGTGAACTGCACCCCACAAAATGCCCCAGGGCATTTCAGGACCTTTGTGAGGCACCATGGGTTTTGTGCCCCCCCCCCCCAGCCCATACCTTATGTCTTTTGTGGTTCTCAACCATATGGCATCTGAAATGCTTTGAAGTTAAAAACAGCATTCTCTGGGAACACATTCTATTTTATGGAATAAAGTGTTACCCAACTCTAAAATACAAAATAAAACCAATTAAGATCTTTAAAAAGAAAAAAAAAGCACTTTTTTTTTTTTTTTTTCAATTCCAAGAAAAGCTGCCCTGGGCCCTTTCTGAGGCGCCTGGAGCTATTTTCTGGAACCAGCCCCTGGGACCGCAGTGTCCCCCCACCCACAGTGGACCGCAGTGTCCCCCTACCCACATGTGACCAAGGCTTCCCTGCCGGCCACACGTGCCCCTCTGCTCGACTTTACCAATTTCATTTTTCTTATTCCTCCAGCACTTATAAAAATTATTTATCTTTATTTTATGTGTATGGATGTATCGCCTGCATGTATGTAAGTACACCTGTGTCATGCAATGCCTGTGGAGAGCAGGAGAAGGGATCCATTCCCCTGGAACCTGAGTTACAGATGGTTGTTAGTGGCCGTGTGGGTGCTGGGAATTGAACCCAGGTCCTCTGCAAGAGCAGCCAGTGCTCTTAACTGCTGAGCCATCTCTCCAGCCCCAGCACTTTTTGGGGGGTGGGGAGCAGGGAAGCAGTGGGATGAGGGAATTTCATTCTGTAGTCAAGGCTGATATTAAAGTCACAGCGATCCTCCTGCCTCAGTCTTCTGAATACTGAGAGTATAGGTGTGAGTCATCAAGCCCAGCTAGGTTTTCTTTTATAAAGATACCTTGTGAGTTTAAAAAAAAAAAATTATTTTTAAAGGGCTGGTGAGATGGCTCAGCAAGTAAAAGTATTTGATGTTCAAGCCTGACAACCTGAGTTTGATCTCCAGAGCTCAAGTAAAGGGGGGAGGAGAGAACCAACTCCACAAAGTTGCCCTCTGACAACTTTTTATGAGGCAGCAAAACATTTTTGAAAGATTAATTTGAAGCCAGGTGTGGTGGCGCACACCTTTAATCCCAGCACTCGGGAGGCAGAGGCAGGTGGATCTCTGTGAGTTCAAGGCCAGCCTGGTCTACATAGGGAGTTCCAGGCCAGCTGGGGCTACAGGGAGACCCTGTCTCAA